TGTTTACTCATGTAACCACGTCAAATTAGAATGAAATTAATATTAAAAGAGACTAACAAAAATTAAAACTCAAACACTGACTTTATTTATTATTAATCTCAATGATTCTTCATGATATGAGACACTTTATACATCTTATATATCAAGATTAATGAAGGGGAGCTAGCTAAAATTAATATTCATGAAATTTCATGAGTAGTTTGATCCAGGGTCACAAGGTTTATAGCACATGCACCGGCGTAGGACATGTGAGCATTTGCCGTAACCATAACCCTCGCTGTGGCATCTCACCATGCAGTTCCTCTGTATGATGCATATCCCTTTGAATGTTTTACTTGGCACTGAACAAATCTTTGCTTCACTGTCTCTCCTGCATATAATCAATAAGTATTCCAACCTTTTAACTAAATTCTAATGCATATTAGCATATATATGTAACTATTTTTGAATTGAGAGAGAGAGAGAGAGAGAGAGAGACTTACGGGAAGTTATAAGGATGATCATATATAAAGAACAAAACAAGACCAAAGTTCCTCTCCATGTCTTAATCTTCAAAATTTTAATTTACCTTCTACCAATAATGTTATTTTCTATCTGTCAATGATGTATATGTGTAGACTGTTTATCTCTATTTATATGTATACAAAGTATCAAATCACACGTCACGTATGGTTTCCAAAACCCTACTTTTTAGTAGCATGGATTTACTTAAGGATTTGGTAATTATAGAAGATCTATTCAGATCCACACTCTGATATTGATATTGATTACTGGTGGATCTAAAGTTTACAATGGCTTTCATCGATTGGAGGATAGTGTATATGTAGATACCAAATTAGGTTTATTACATAGCTTAACCAAACTTCTTCCTTTTTTTAGAATAAAATATATTGTTGTACTAAAAAAAAAAAAAAAAGATGATCTAAGCCATTAATCATCTATGGCAATCGTAACCGGTTATGGCTTTCAGCTTTTTTTTTTTTTTTTTTGAAAAAATGATATTATCTACCCTAAGGGGAAGAGAGCAGGCTTTAACCTTACAATGAATTCGCAATAATGAGTTTAGATTCGCCTTTGGCGAGAGTCGAACCCAAGACCTTTTTACAAGTGAAGAGAAATACCACTAGACCGCAATACTAAGTGGCAAGGCAATAATGAGTTTAGATTCGCCTTTGGCGAGAGTCGAACCCAAGACCTTTTTACAAGTGAAGAGAAATAACATTAGACCGCAATACTAAGTGGCAAGGCTTTCAGTTATCTTAAGTAAAATGAATTGTTTTAAATATCTTTATATAAGTATTCTTAACAATCAATTTCTTTAACATGACGAAAATATCATGTGGCAGGCCAAAGTGGTGTAAATAATCTACCCATACTTTTCTCGGTTTTTTGGTTAAGATATCAAGTGTTAATAATCTATCCATGTGATAGAGATAGACTTCAAATTTATCTGTAACAAACATAAAAAACCAAAAAGTGGGAGATGTTGTGCAAAAGAAGGAATAATACGTTATCGAAGCACATCCCTCTGAATAGACGGCTCCTATACTTACACTCCTTCGCCACAACTTGCATCACCATCCCTAAATTAAACAAATAATAAAAATTAATCAGAACGAAAAATAATATTAATAACAAAGTCATAGATACATAAAGGGCTAAAATGCACCAAGAGTTCCATGTAGTTTATTACTTGGATTACTTTCATCACTATTTTTGTTATAATTTTGTTTTGTTTTGACTTTATTCTTATCTGTAGACTAAGTTGATTTGTTCCTTAACTTTTGTGCTCATTTAATGGAATGGACTAAGTCATAGATACATAAAGGGCTAAAATGCACTAAGAGTTCCATGTAGTTTATTACTTGGATCTTTACTTTCATCACTATTTTTGTTACAATTTTGTTCTGTTTTCACTTTATTATTATAATCCGTAAACTAAGTTGATTTGTTCCTCAACTTATGTGCTCATTTGATGGAATGGACTACTAGTGCTACCGGAATGAACTAAGGGCGAAAAGCAAATTCTGAGTAAACGATGAGAGAGAGAGAGAGAGAGAGAGAGAGAGAGAGAGAACCTGATGGCAAAAGGAGAAGGAATACGAACAATATGAGCCCAAATAACTTGTTGATTTCCATGTCTCGCAGTTGAATGCCTACCTAGTTACATATGGTTCCTTAGCATGTATTCAACAGCTTCCATGGCCCTTCATATATATAGCACGAAAGTGTGGAAGCTTATCGACTTTAACACCTTACAATTAATTAAATTTAATAAACCCTAAATCCTAAAAGCAAAATTTTAAGCCCTTTGACTTGAAAAGTGTCGTCTTTTTATTTGGCTTGTGCTCGGATTCTATTTTATGTGTGTAGTAAATGAATAATGTTTGAGGAAAAAGTGAGGATCCAGTAATAAAATAATATCTGGAGGAGAGATATTGTATATAGTTTAGGTTTCCTTTGTAAACAATATCCGGACGGCCTTCTGTGATTCTTTGTTCTTACTTGTCATCAAGTGGAACGGTGAAAGATTAAGATCGAGTCTTGTTCTCCTTCATCTTTTTATTGTTTTCTGACTGGCCAAAAAATGGTATTCGTGTGGTGGATTTTTGGACTCTTTCTTTGGTGCAGATAAGTTTAATTCACACAATTAGATTGTTGTATCCTGAAAGAGACAAGTTAAGAGATATACTATTGCACCGGATTTTTTCAAACTTTAGTGAGCTTGAGTCTAGTTAAAAACACGAGATACTCGCGCTTCAACCTAATTGTCTACAAGAATTTTATTTCATTGTAATTTTTTGTAATTTCTTTGTAATTTACCCAACACCATATAGTTTTGATTTACATGTATGGATTTTTTATGTGATACTCATTTACCTTTTCGAAAACTCCGGTTCAGTTTTAGCGAGATCACAGATTACAAGTCAGGGAGGTATAACAGTACCATCAACATTACAATCTGAAAGTCTGCCGTTGCTATTCCACCAAAAAAGAAAAAAAAAAAAAGAAGCTTTAGTGAGGTCACATTTGTGACATTAAAATTTGGTATAAGACATGATCTCTAATTTTCTTAATTAAATTATTGGGGTAAGTTAATTAGCCCAGTTAGGTATTGGATATATATGTTGAAACTCATGAAAATCTACTGAATATTGGCAAAGAGTTGTGGTAATCCTTGGACCATCAATTTTTTATCTCAACCTATTAGGATTTAGAGATAATCAGCAATAAGCTGTAGGAACTCTGATTAACACTAATTAGATAATCAGCTACAGAAACTTTATTTATGAACATAAAATAATTATTTTGCAAAGTACAATCACATATGGGGAACAGCCATTTTAAAACGACTTTTCCTTCTCGTCTCCGCCACTTCACCACCCCACATGCATGTCCACCACGTCTTCCATCTTCACCGCCGCGCCTAGAGCTCCTTCATACGGAAGGGGAGGTTCTTCACTCGGAGGTGGGGGGTTCTTCACCATACGGAGGTGAAGGTTCTTCACCATACGGTGGAGGATGTTCTTCACCATAAGGAGGAGGAGGTTCTTCGCCATACCGCGGTGGTTCTCCCGAAGGAGATCCACAAATCTTAGTGCACATGCAATGACAGCGTATAATCCCTTCGCATTGGCCACGCTCAAAACCCTCACTTTGGCAAATTATGTAGCACTTGTCGTCATCGAAGTACTCCCTCTGAATGGACAGCTCCTATACTTACACTCCATCGCCCCAACTTGCATCACCATCTCTAAATTAAACAAATACAAATTAATCAAAAAGACACAAAAAAAAAAAAAAAAGTAATATTGATAAATCATAAATATCAAAATTATGAAATTCCTCATTTGATGGAATGAACTAACGATGCTAACAGAATGAAACTACAAGAAGAAAAATGAAATTTGTTATATAGTGCAATGAGAGTGAGAGAACTTGATGGCAAGAGGAGTGGGAAGACCAACAACACGAGCCCAAAAAACATGTTGATCTCCATGTCTTGCAATTGCAAGCTTAGCGAGTTGCATATGTTTTCTTAACAAGTATGTCTTAAAAGCCCCCTGGGCCTTCATATATATAGCACGAAAGTGTGGAGCAAAAATGTAGAGCTCTCTACTTTAACAATTGTAAACGTTCTTTTGAGGAGTGTTGCTCTTACATTACGGTGTGGATTCAAATTCTGCTGATTTTTTAATCTAATATCAAATCTAACTATTATATCATTTGACAAGAAAAAAACAAAGAAGAAGGTTTTTTTATTTTAGAATGTAAAAACATCACCAAGTTTATATCTAAAATTTGACCTCTGGGATTTTGGAAATAAAGAAAAACAAAATTCTAGGGCCGTTAGTAACGATTTGCAAAACGATATTGTTTTGTCACACAAAGACGGCAAATAGAATTTTGCTTTTTTATGACTTAAAAAAGTGTGGAAGTTTCTCCGTGCTTGGATGCTGTTTAATGAGCGTAAACAAATGAATAAGATTTGAAAAAAACCATTTAGTACCACAGTCTAGTGGTTTTTTCTCTTCACCTGTAAATAAAAGGTTTTAAGTTCGATTCTTGTTAAAGGCAAACTAAAACCACCTTATTGTTATCCCACTGTGAGATTTTCTCTTAATGTAGATAATATTGTTTGATTTGAGGGAAATAAAAAAGATCCAGTAATAAAATAAGATATGGAGGGCAGATATTCTATAATTATAGGTAGCCATTTGTAAACAATATGCGGATGGCCTTTTGTAACTCTCTTCTTACGTTTCATTCTCTTGGTTCTCTCCGATTTCCTCTTGCAACCGATGCCTAGTCCCCGTGGCGTTGCTTGTTTAATAAATGATTGCCACATGTTCAAAAAGCGAATTCTTTGTCAATAAAAGCACACCATGTGACATGTTTTGATTGCATGAGGGTATCTCTCCTTTCGTTGATACAAGTTTCATTATCGTTCAGACAGAATGTAAACACTGGCTTCACCCATCCAGACATCGTACTAGATATTTTACGAAACAAAGAGGCAAATATTGTACTAGATAATACACAATCCAGGTCAACCATCTAACCGATTGTAAAATATAATCTTAGATTTTAGAGTTCCAGGTTTTGGCCGTCTCGTTTTGAAGACGAACCGAGTTCAATTACAGGGCAACACAACTCAATTACAGTAATGCAGATGAGAGAAACTCCTCACTCACCACTCAAGCAGTCCTAAACAGTTTTGGCTCCATTCAGGCAGGCAATTAACCCTTTTGGATTACTCCGTTCTCCTTCAAGTACTCGACAAATTCGTCAATAAGATATGGCCAGGCACCTTCCGCATCATAGTTTGACAGTGAAGAATCTACAGCCTACAAACACGGAATATCAAGTTAACCAAAGAAATAAAAAGGTAAGAAAAAGGGTAGCCTTGTTCGGGTTTTGTTTTGGTTACATAGATGCTTGATATCTTACCCTCGCAAACTCCAATAGTTGAGACCATGTGTCCCTTGAAATTGCCTTGTTATGCCGAGCCTGAAATGATGGAATCAAGAAGAGAAAATATATATCAACACAAATATATCAAGATAATATTTTCTGGTAATTTTGTATTTCTCCCAATCACTTTGGGACGTATAATGCCATTTCAATGCAAACTTACTTTCTAAGATGTAACAGGTGTGACAATGATTTCGTAAAAGAATGATGTTAGGACTAAATTTTTGATAAGGGCCTATACACCACTGGTGGAACAATGGCAGATTTCGGATTAGCTTTATGGACCTAATGATAAACCACTAACACCTTCCTCGTTTGGGCTCCACCCAGGTATGTAAGAGCGGCTCAATCCAGGGCCCCGCCCCTGAGTCTTCACCTGCGTTCATCACAGCACCTTCGCCTTACATACATATGGGAATCAAGGTTTGGAACCCCCAAGTAGGCCTTTTTTTTTTTTTTTTTTTACTTCTTTTATCATATAGTTAGCATACTAAAGGTAACAACATGAAGCCACCATTTTGCATGGAAACTGTAAAAATTCATCAGAACTACTTGGCCATAAATTGTGGTGCACATTGGAGATATGCATTCATATTAAACATTCATCACGCTCAAGGAGTTGCAAAAATTGGCAATGATTCCTATTGGATAATATAAATGATTATTGCAAGCCCAGTGAGTGTAGCTAATTTCAACAAATACTAAATTCTGTAACTTACCTGTAAGAACTGACACCAGTGTTCAACATACGGCCACTGCTTTTCAGCAAACAGTAATTGCCACATTCCAATTGCAGTATCCAATGCCAAAGATTTCTGACCCTGAAATGAAAATGAAGCAATATACGTGTATATGAACATGAACACAAAGCACACGCGCACGCCCACACACACATATATTAATACCTGAATTTATATTAGAAACTTTAACAGATATAATTATTTATTCCAGAAAATTAAAATTAAAAAAATAATAATCTTATTGTTAAGTTATTGAACATGAAGACTATATCTATCATCAGAAGTATGACATATGCATCACAGACTATTCCTGAAGCTGTGGTTGAATACGTTATGAATTGTGTTTTCATGCACATGTTTCAAGTCCAAATTCGCACCCATCAAGAATATATATCAAGGAATTCTTTCTAGTTTTATCTATCAAGTTTGAGAGGTAAGCACTGTCTAGAATAGAACAAATCAAAATCTTCATGCAGTAAAGTAAAAAGTAAAAGCACATACCTTTTCTTTTGCCCAGCCAAAAGCAAAATTATATATCTCTCGAAACTTTTCTGGAAAATCAAAAGATCATTTCAGCAATGAAAAGGTATTCTTGCAAAATTCAAATCACATCAATAATCTTTACAGAACAGTCAAGCTATTTCAACAAAAATACATGTTAAAATCACGAGTATCTTCCACAAATAACCAATCTTATTAAAATTGTTAGAATTTCTGTTGGATTTCACTTAACAATGTTAAAATCACCCTAAACCCTAATTACTTAACTAAAACTATAATCACATTTCACTTACGTTCATCTTTCAGCTCGGATCTCATAAATGGTATCTTTTCACGGAACTTGTCCAAAGAATCTATCCTGCCATCAGATAACACAAACTTCTGTTAACTGAATCTCTCATGGTTATAAACTATGTACGTATTATATTTGAGGTCTAGAAGAATGTAATAAACATCTAAACCCTTTGTACCTACCCTAGTGATTCTAATCCATCTATGAACTCCTGCTTGGAAAATTCACACATGGTAGCTGCCTTCATGTGCCAGGAAACAACTAACTGCATCAACAGCCCATTGTACCAAAAATCACCAGCCAAGTCACACGGATAGGTTGAAAAAAAATAAGTATGCAAACTAAAAACAAAAGTTAACCGATCAAATTGGTACCATATATATGATTTTCATGAAGCTTACTTTTCATATGACAACCTCTTCATTACCTGCATAGCAATTCTCTTTTATACAGTTCAAACTAAATATTACCAATGTCCCAAAATTTTAGCCTGCTAAACATTAGTCTCCAATCTGTCAATGTAACATTTAATCCCTAGAAATCTATATTAGACTGCGCCCACAACTGTAATAGGCCCCAGTCAGAAAATTACCATATCTACCCTAATCTTATTAAAATTGTTAGAATTTCTGTTGGATTTTCAAGCAAAAAGGTTCTTTAGCTCAAATGGACAGAACTTCCTAGAATTGAATTCTCAGTTGCCTAAATAGTAATTTGGCAGACTTGAAAGGAACTCCGTAGGCATGCACATCTTGACCAGAAAAAGGTTTATTTGAATATACGTACCATGACAATATCTTGAGGATCCACCTGTCAAATAATGAAGGCTAGCATGTCAGTCAAAATAAAAGAACAAGAAATTGAAATTAAACAATCATAAGAAACAAACAACAATGTTAAAGACAAATGACTGAGACAGTTACTATCTGCACCAAACAGTTACCTGAAGATCATTGCAAAGGAGGCTGATACCATCAACAAGTATCATGTCAACACGTGGATCTGGAAAGAAAAAAAAAACTATTTTATCAGTGAAAAGAAAATTCTGCTAACCATATAAACTTTAGTTTAAAAATTAAAAAAGAAAAAAAGATGAGAGAAACATTTGATGGGTCATTTGATTTTAGGTACAATGCTATCACTTATCACAAATGATAAATTTATATCTGTACATGCAATATTATCGCTAATCATCAAGTTCATCAGTATGTACCAAATCCAGTATCGGAATACATATTTGAGTAAGACATGGCTGATGAAAAGCTTGAAGAAAAAAACAATCCCATTAATTTTTTAATATAAAACATTTATATAAAGTTCAGATTCAAAAATCTCGTGTTCACAACTAAAGTATTAAGATTCCAGCCAAATTCATCCATTACAAACTTGATAACACCACATGCGTGTGAATTTATAAACTGACTTACATCTCTGTCTTTTCAATTTGCTATGAATGTGAAACAAAAGATGGACACTAATGTCTAAGATTGAGGACAAGAGTAAATGGAAAGGTAAAGCTTGCCTTTATATCTATTGTATAATTCCTCCAAATGCCTAGAATCAGTATGTGTTTGCAGCTGGGGCTGACTGTAGAATACATCAAACGCTCCTTCAAGATGCCAATCACTAGACTTCAGAGCCTGCAAAGCCACTTTTTCGCTGCACATGATGGGAAGTTAGACTTCTCACTCCAAGAATCACACTAAAACTGCTCAAGAGTAAGGAGAGAAAAAGGTACAAAACACGCCACCAGTCTAATACAAAGCACATATGCGTGTGCAGCCAATTAATCCAATTCAACTCAAAAGATACATAAACAAGCTGACGAATAAAACTGCTCAACTCAACCAAATCTAACACAACAGAAACACACATGTCCCTTAGCAAGGCAAAAAATATGTTGGAGTTACATGTAAAATTTTAAAATCTTCGTGATTGACTATTGAATATACAACGTCAACTGGTTTTAAATGGTGCTCTAAATATCAATGCATAACATGCATAAGCTAGCAAAACTGCCATTGATCTAAAGACGCGAACTGAAGAAAAACAGAACTTGCTGGAGCTTTTCGGATTACCTTGCTCCAGTTATCATGATGAACTGCTGGAGCTTTTCGCGTTGGCCTCTACCCGACTTGTGCTGTCAAAAAGAAAATCAAAGGTGAAGCAGAGAGAGAGATAACAAAACCAAACTATGCGCATATTGATTCAGGTATATGTAAGTGTGTGCGCGCAAATACAAACGAACGCATATGATTAGCATAATATCAACATCCAAGAAATAATCTTTGCAAAAATGTAACTGAAAAGTGGGTAATCTTATAAGAGGAAAATGAAACAGTGGGTAATGATCTCTATGTTGTGTCACCAACAACAAAAGGTTACTTCTTTTGTCAAGAAAGTGCAAAACAAAACCAAATTTTCTTCAAATTCACATCAACAGAGGTTTTCCCCTGTCCATAAATTTCATTTTGCATCAATTTTCTTCAAAACCTAAAAAACCAACAGCCTCTTGTTAACTAATCTCACAACCGAAAAAACCCGAAAACTCCTTAACTAGTGTACGTTCTCAAATCCAACATCTTTTAATCCCTTTTCTCAGCTCTCCCAGCTTCTCAAAATATGAAATGTTACTAAAAATTGAAACTTTGGCATGACAGTCAAGTGAAAAAGTCGCTATAATTTGCAGAACAAATCATGAAAGGGTGAAACAGTAAAAGGTTAAAGTTAAAGCAACCCTAGAGAAGCGAGAGACTGATCAGGAACCATAAGCATACATGAAACCGAACCAGTGAGAATCGAAGAAATTTGACACAAAAATCGTGGAATTTGAAAATACAGTTGAAAAAAATAGAGAGTACTCACCATCTTTGAGGTGGACGATGATGAAATCGCAGACCTTGAACTGCTTTTAGAGAGAGAAAACTAGGGTTTTGCTCAGTTTCTGTGTAACAAGCACACAGAAATACAGAAGAAGAATCCCTCTGTATCTATCTCTCGATGGGGTCTGGGTTCCCTGCATATTGTGTTTTTAATTGGTTTTTATTTCTCTTTTTTGTTTTTTGTTTTGTTTTTGCTTTTTGCTTTTTGTTTCCATTTTTCTTTCTTACTGCTTTTTTTTCCAAGGCGACGAACAGCGGGCGTTAAATGCGTTTGGATGTACCGTGAGTAGTTTCGTGTTTAAAGTTTTGTAAATCAGATATAAATGTGTGATACGATGACTTATTAATGTGTGTTGATTGTTAAAAGCGGATGAAGATGTATAGTAAGGATCACGTATTTAACATTTTATAATCGATAATAAATATACGACACAATTACTTTTAACGTGTGCTGACTATTAAATTCGTGTGAGATACATTTTAAAAATGTGTATGAAGTCCACTACGAAAGTCACATGTATTAACGATTCACAAAATGTGGCATGACGAACCTTTAGCGTGTAATGACCGTTGTGAATCAAGCTGTGAAAGCTAAATGTACTACAAAATGGTCCATGGTCACTCTCCTTAGCTTGCCCTACCTGGCGAACCCTTGGGCACTCAATGCAGGACTTTATTATTTTTGACAAAAAACAAATGCCTATTTTGTAAGTAATGACTGTTCAAACTTGTGGTTTATTTTAGGTTTTAACTGCGAACTACTTAGCCCATGCAATGAATCCATCAGTTCTACAGTTGGGCTTCGTTCAGACTCAATTGGCCCAATATCAAAGTCTATTCAACTAAGCCCAATAAAGCTGGTCCAGAATTGTTTGGTGCCAGAGAGTAAAGATCCAATAGGCTCATTGTTGATCTTTGAAATTTGGTCGAAGTTCTACTTTGTTCCTCTTCAACCCATTACGTTTCAAGTTTAAACTCTCTCTCCTCTGTTTTTTGTAAATTAGTGTGAAATATCGCTTGTAATAACAAAATATTTGTGATTAAACTCCTGTAATTTACTAAGTGTTGCAACTCAAAAAAACATGTCTTAATTTTCTTCATTTTTTCTTGGGGTAATGCTAGAGAGATCAAATTTATAAATCAAATTTGCAACCAATGAAATGTCACCAATAAGAAATAAGTATGTTAATCAACACTTAATTAATAATTCAATCATCTACAATCTCATCATTTGATTTAAAAACTTTAGTACTCCTAGTATTACTTTTTTTTCTTTTTCTTGATAGAAAGCACACAAGTGATATGTGTGATTTAAGAGGAACATTGTCGAAGTGTAAAACACCTCACACAAGGTTTTAGAGTTCTAATTTTGTCTGAAAAACAAAAGAAATAATTTGACTTGTGTGCCACTTCGGTCTCCAAAGCTCTAAAATATGTCACAATACATTTATCATGAAGTGTAGTATTTATCTCAGCAACAAACATAACTTTAAATCTTACCAAGTTATGTATACATCTAATAGGTGGCTCAGCGATAAAAGATAGATTGTGAGACTTATTTCAAATTAAAAACTAGAGATTTTGGGTTCGAAACCTACTGTTGGTATGGAAGCTAGACTTATGGCTAGAAAGGCTAAAATACCTCCCAGAATAGGAGGATAACCGTGACTTGTCACCGATTGTCCTCTTTTAATAAATATAAAAAAAAAAAAAAAAAATTACGTATACACCTGTACGCATGACTCTCTTGTGCACAAAATGAAATACAATAATGCAAATACATGTTGGTTGACGACTCCCGACACAAGATCTTCTCCCATGGCATTAGAATTTAGAAATATATTCTCATCAAAGGCACATTTCACGCACACCGAATACCCCAAGTAGGATACCATGGTTCCTTCCACATACATTTAATATAGACTAATCAACTTATAGTCGGCACATATTCCTTGCACGAAAAGTCACCTCTTATAATAAAAAACTAATCTCCAATCTCTGAAACTGACTATACCAGTTTTAAGAGTTTGTGTAGCATCTGACCGGCTGTTTACATGCTTTATCTACTGATTTAAATAGCTGTTTAAAGTTTCTAAAAAATTCTTTCTTCACTTGGATTAGTTTACATTTTAGTAAAGTAAGCCGTATTTGTTTATTTGCCTGTGTTTTTCTTTATATATTAAGCTGCAATTCATTGTCTTCCTAGCAAACTCTTTCTGCTGAGAAAACATGGTGGCAGATCTTCGAACGGAATCTTCGGATTACCGGACTGAGCTCTTGTCGCCGGACTTGACGGGAGAGACTGTGACAGTGCCAACTGAGGCATCGTGGAGGCTCAACATGGATGGATTCAACCTTCCAGCTGAGAGAAGCATGGATTCTTACTTTGGCCTTGGCTCTTTTGTGAACTCATTAAGTAAGTTCACAAGTCCTTTTCATATTATTAAACTCAAATTAGCATTGAAATTATCTCTAATTCCATCACAGGGAGGCAGAGAAAAATTGCACAATATTACAAGAGGCAGAATAAACTTCTCAAGGATTCAGCGAGATAGACTCATTTTCTGAGATGGGTTTTTGGCCTGGAAGTTTAACACAGGTTTGTCGTTAATTTCGTTGTTTTAGGCCAGTTTGTCAATCAAATTTGCCCGTCACCTTGCATCCAAGTTCAAATTCCCCTCCCTGTAGATTAAAGCAATTTAGAAGACCATTTCAGAAGATACGTTTCAAGCACAAGCTTTTTTCTTAATTGTTGCATTGAATTTTGGGACCGTTTGAATTTTTTGGTTTCAGGATGAGGTGAACCAACTTGCAAGAGATGAAAGGATGGCAATATATGCATCTAATGTGGCTAATTTGGTGCTTTTCCTGGCAAAAGTTTATGCTTCGGTTGAGAGCAGATCTTTGGCAGTAATTGCTTCAACTTTGGATTCTCTCTTAGACCTCTTGTCAGGCTTCATTCTTTGGTTCACTTCTCATGCAATGAGAAAACCTAATCCGTATCGGTACCCGATTGGTAAAACCCGGATGCAACCTGTGGTAAGTATAGTCCTTCTACTATACATCAATGCATAGAATAAAGTGCCTTCTAAGTGGATCCCATTCATCCGTTGAATTCCTTGTGCTTGTAATCTTGAGCGAGTTGTAGCCGTTAAATTCTGCGATGTATTTCATATACTGATGTACGTTAGATCTTTCGGTGGTTAGCAATTGAGAGAACATTGGAAATTCAATCTCAAGGCACTGAATCAACAATAAATCAATGATTTTGTAGGATTATGTTCATGAGAATATGAATCCTAATTTTTCGGACAATTAGTTCTAACTGTACTTCATGCACTAAATCTTAAATGCATTGCAGGGTATTGTTGTTTTTGCATCTGTAATGGCAACTCTTGGACTACAAATATTGTTTGAATCTGGGCGGCAACTTCTCGCGAAGGTATTCAAGAGTCCACTAGTTGATTGTAACGCAAGAAATCTTGAGCGCAAGATGTCGAATTAAATTTTGAGCATCACATTTGTCGATAGGGCGATTATAATATATAGTTTTTTTCATGCAGACTCAACCTGATATGGATCCAGTGAAAGAAAAATGGATGATAGGGATAATGGTGTCTGCAACAGTTGTGAAGTTTGTGTTGATGGTGTATTGTCGTAGATTCAAGAACGAAATTGTTCGAGCTTACGCTCAAGATCATCTGTTTGATGTCATCACTAATGGAATTGGTCTTGCAGCCGCAGTTTTAGCAATCAGGTTATACTGGTGGCTTGATCCTGTTGGAGCTATCATTGTAAGTAATTCAGCCTATTAACGCCTAATTTTGTTAATTAGGCCACGTATCTGCAATACCTTGTTTGTTATCCTCTTGACCCTGCTGTGCGCACGTACGTAGGCTGTGGCCTTTTCGGTCTATTTTGATGTGTGGGCCTTTGTGCGGTCCATTTGCGCGTATTAACAGTCATACCAGTCGGAAAAGGCTAACAAATTGAAACACGGAGACCAAATTGACCGATATGAAAAAAACCAAAATTGAAAATCCGAACAAAACACAAAGATGAAAAAGTACTTAACCCTGAACCATTTTAAGGCAACAAATGTAACTGAATTTCGAAACGCAATGGGATGCAGATTGCTTTGTACACAATGGGGAATTGGGCGAAAACAGTGATGGATAATGTGTGGTCACTGATAGGGAAGACAGCACCAGCAGAGTACTTGGCAAAATTGACATATCTGATATGGAACCATGACAAGGAGATCAAGCACATTGAGACGGTGAGAGCATACACTTTTGGCTGCAACTATTTTGTGGAGGCTGACATTGTCTTGCCCGGAGACATGTCTCTCAGCCACGCACATAACATCGGAGAGACGCTTCAGGAAAAGATCGAAAACCTTCCTGAGGTAGAACGAGCTTTCGTTCATGTCGACTTTGATACTACTCACAGGCCTGAGCACAACAATGCTAAGTTAGCACCATCTTGATAAATAAAATCAGACAGGAAGAGTGGAATAGAAGTTTGTGCTTTTAATTTGGTGCTATAATTATTGAACAAGGGTTGTTTAAGGTTTTAAACAACATTTATTTTTAGTTTTGTTAAAGAATCAATTTCAATGGTTGAAGCTTACTGAAATATTTATGATCTGATTGATTGTAAACAACAATTTGTTCTAACACTTTGTTGTTTATGAGATTTGAATTTAATATATCCCGAACAAAATGGAGACCGAGTATTTAAGAGAGAGAGAGAGAGAGATAATTTGTTGTAAAGATTCTTTTTGGGATTTGTTTGTAGTAGAATAGAAGTTTTGTATTTTTAACAATAAAAAAAGACTCATAAGTTCAAACTTGTTTGTTTTAGATTTTTATTGTTCAATTCAATTAACTGCAGCCACTTAGAATTACGGTCTAGTGATATTCCTCTTCACTTATATGAGAGAGGTTTTAGGTTCGATTCTTGACAAAAGCGAATTTGAACCACTTTATTACTAGTTTATAAATTAGAATGAAATATCGCTGGTAATAAAAAATATATATATATCCATGTTTAAAGTGTTGCAACTCAAAAACATGTCTTAATTTTCTTCTTTTTTTTTTCTTAATGGGATTAGTACACGAGTGGCATATGTGATTCAAGAGGAACATTATGTAAGTGTACAACA